ACATCAGACTGATATAAGAACTCGCTTTTAATTTGTCAGGAGTAGATGAAGAAGGAAGGAGCAAGCTGCAGAAGTAGGGAGAAACAGTTTGAGCAGATCTACTAGTGACAGTGAACAGCCCATGTTTAGCAGTGTAACGGATAGCTGAGCTTGAGAAAGTAAACTTTAAATTGATTTTCTTTGTTGCTTTGATTCTACGTATATTTTTACTTCCTGGAGCTGTGAGGCAGTCATTTATAAACATCTATACACAGGGGATGTGAGATTTCTCTGTCCTATTATTTAACATTTGATTTTATGAAATGCTAAACAGTGTTTTTGGAATTTCCAAATCATTCTTTCTTCAGCTGACCAAAAACAGCTGAACAGCTCCAGCTTAAACTTTATGGGGAAAAAACAAACAGTAAAATTGTTTTTGCCCTAGCTTACAGTCCAGCACACATAAGAATGACTTAGATAAAATATTTGTATCTGTATCCAGGATTTTGTATGGCAGGTGAAAAAAAAGCATCTTTCAAATTTCTTTTGAGTTTGTTAACTCTCCAAAAGAAAGAGCTGCCCTTTAAAATTAGAGGAGTAGAAAGGAGTGATGTGAACACCCACTGTGCTCATCAACACAAGAGAAGCACAGGAAAGCTGTACGTAGGGGTGTCAAGCGATTCACACTATTTAATACTGAGAAAAACAAACTTAATATGAACAGAGTAAAAATATAATATCCAAATTTGTTAATAAGGTGAATTGTCAGGAGTGGTACAAGACAGAAATATGAAACCTTTGGCATAATGACTGGCAGGAGTTCAGAAAGCAAATAGGATCTTAGGAGGTATAATTAGAGGGAGAGACCATGCTCATCAATAGAGGCAGTTAAAACTCTATTCAGAGAAAAAGCAAGACAAAGCCACTTGTTATTGCTAACCATTTTGAGATTTGGGTTACACAGAGTATACAAAAATACAACCTGTAAAGGTGAGTGTAAATATCTATATAGCCATCACTTCAGATTCCATGGATAGATTTAGTTTTAAATGAAATGAAATGCCCGCCTTCTGTCATTTGTTTACAGTGAATCCCAATAGATTTGTAACACATTGATACAATGCACTATATCAGAATATACTTAATAATACTCAGATATTTGCTACTTTTGTAGAATATTTTTCCTTCCTTCCTTCCTTCCTTCCTTCCTTCCTTCCTTCCTTCCTTCCTTCCTTCCTTCCTTCCTTCCGTCCTTCCTAGAAAGTCTTTCTAAAGACTAATTGCCTTCTATTGCTGTTCTGCACTTAATTCAGCAGTGCTGAAAAACATCCTCACCTTAGCAGGAGGTAGCAGGAGTCTGAATTCACTTCTGCCCAGATCACATAACTACAATTTCCGATGGCTTGTTTATATGGACATGGCAATTAAAAATGGAGGTCTGTAAAGCATGTATGGGAATAACTAAGACCAACTGTTTGGTGGTTTGTTTTTTTTTTTGCCCTAACAAGTAAAGGAAGAACTTGTCTCGCCATATAGAGACACAGAAGTAATTGTGGCACAGTCTGGGAGAACTGTCAGACACAACACACTAAAATGATTCAGTCAGTCTTAGGCAACTTTTGCAACATGCTTACACAAATTGCTTGCCTTTGGTTCTAGAAATGCAGACTTCAGATTCTATAATCAGTCCTTCCATTCTCACCCTTGTTTTCTACAGCCCAACAGCAACTAGTTGAGGTTTCAGTAATTAAGACAGCATCTTCTAAGTCACGTAACAAGCAGTAGCTTTTTGGAGGAGAAGGCATTTCCAGCATGAAAGTATGTGGATAGTTTTCTGAATGTGTTAGATCAGAAGTTCCAAGGGGTATTTTTCAAATTAATTTCAAACTGAGTATTCATCAGCTGAGAGTTTTTTGTTTTTTTCAGTAGTACTTGTAGAATGAAGAGACAAATGTAATTGATACTGCTAAATTAAGAGGCTGAAATAGTCATTCCAAGAGCAGGTTTGTTGAAAGGCTGAGGACAGTACCGGTATGCACTTTTGGAAACTCCCACCCTGCATTCCCAGCTGTGCTTCATGTCCCGTTGTCACTGCTTTGCAGGGATGGTATCACAGAGCAGTTGACTACAGTTTCTTGAGACTGGGATTAATTCTATCCTTTGTTTTCTGTGTTGCTCATTTATTTGACAGACAGTTTGAAAGGAAAAAAAAGTCTGCACATATGTCTGTTCATTCATTTCTATATTGAGCATAAATCTCAAATCCAGCTGTCCTCTATAGCTAGAAGGACAATTTACTCTTCTGGTCCAGCATAGGTCCATGTCAAATAAAAGCAGAAGTAAGCTGATCCATTTAAAACTGAATATGTCATTTATTTATTTTTCCCCTCGTAGTCTGCTAGTCTTCTTCCAGATACTTATTTCTACAAGGTTTGTCGTTGGCAGAGTTCCCAATCTACCAGATTGCCCTCTTTATGTTTGTTTAGGATGACATGGTGTGGCAGTACTGTCAGACTAAAATCAGTACAGATTCCTGGAGTTTTGCTTCTGCTCCCCAGATGATCTATCTGGGGGATTAAGACCTTTCATCTGAGAAACAGTAAACCACAAATTGGAATACAAAGTGACACTGGGACTCCTAATTCCTCACCAATTTAGGTAAGCTGTCACATGTAACGAGAGATTAGATGTTGTTGCCCTAGAGTGGTGATAAATAGAGGAAGCATATTTACAAGTAGAAAGCTTTACAGTGGAAAAGCTTCACAGCACAAATGGCCTGTGAGATCCAGTGAGGATACTTGAAATAGCCTCTTTAAGCTGACCGAATAAAGAACTGACACAAGCTCATGGCATGGGCTGCATGCTCCTGGCCCAGGAGAGGCCAGTCAAGAATCTGGAAAACCAGTGCCTCATTTTGGGACTATTCACAGTTTGGTTACAGATCAGACTGGAGCTTAAACCCAAGCTTCTGACTGCGAAACAATACAGTATGTATACATCTCCATAAAATCTGGGCCTACTGTGTGCAACCTGGAAGTGCAGTGTTTTAGATTGATTTACCAAGTTACACAGGATGCAGCAGTAGAAGGGCCTAGAATCTGTTTTCTGAACTGAAATTACGTTTAATCTGAAGCAAAATCCTTGCAATCTAAGCCTGGAAAATTATTACTAAGCACTAGAGACAGCCCATTAAAGTAAGAGGTATGCATAAAGATTTGGACAAGCTCGTTCCTCTGTGAGATGTTTATTCCTTTGCTGTGTTTGCTACTGGCAAGCTTTTGCTATTCCCTGAATCGCAACACCGAACAACTTGCTGTGTCTCTGGTGAAACAGTGCTTTTCTGAGAGAATGGGAATGCTTACCACAAGCATGAAGGAGCAGATATATTTACTGAGATGCTGCTCAAATCTGTCTTTTTTCAGAAAATCATTATCTGTAAGCAAACCTAGCACTTGTTTCCCATGCTGTAATACGGTACTTGTAAATTCAACACTGCTAAAAAGACACAAATTTTCCCTTCTACAGATTTCTAGGAGCTCTCCCATGGTTTTAAACAGAGCGTGACAGGCCCAATAATATATATTTAACTAAGAGATTAACATTAAAGAAAAAGAAACCTCAAAATGAATCTATACATAACAATATTTTGAATTTAAAGTTTATATACACTGGCACGTATATAATCAGACATCTATTAATTTTAAAAGCTCCAAACAAAAATATCCAAATACACGATGGCAAAAATCCTAATTCTGTAATCATGTATCGGAATAGCAGTTGTTTTGGTTGGTCTGCTCTCCCTTTCTGCTGGCTGGGTTCCCTTTCTGTGTGACAGATGTGCTATTTATGGAAGGGGATTCTGAATATTTTAAAGCACTGACTGCTAGGATCATCTCCTTCCCAGCCTGTAAAATGAAAGAGAATAGAAGCCAAATAATTTTCCAGAGAAAAATCTCCAAATATCTACCTATAAAATCATTTTTAAAAAGGGGAGAAAATTGCCTGTTTTTTTACAAGAAGCTATTTCAAATCTAATACATACATACCGCGATCTTTTGCTGTTGCTTTGCAACCTTTTCTTATTTAATGCAATACTTAGTAGCAGTTTTCACTGTTAAAAAACAGGCACTGTTTTAGAAAAAATAAATCATAGCAGACTTAGATTCCTAAGAAACCTTGAAAATGTGGTGCCTTGCTTTCCTAGCTGTATTGGCAGGTCTAATGAAAAATAGTGCTTCTGTGTACATATGTGGCCTCTCAAGTATCTATTTATTCGAGTGCTGATCAGAAAGCATTTATATTCACTTATATATACATTCAGAAATAGTCACCTAAAGAAATATTTCAGTTATATATTTTCAGAGCAAACTGTGATGTTCACTATTCTGGCTGTGTTGGGTATTGGCTCGCGGTGTTTGGGCTAGATGGAAGGAAGCTGTGAGAAGGCACTGAAGGTGGAGAGTGGGGGGTAGTTTGCGCTATTAACAGATCTTATGGTTTGTCTTACCTTAAGTGATGGTTTACTCTTCTGGGAAAGTAATTCAGGTCATAATAAACTGTGGCACGATGCTCTCATTCTCCCTTTGGAGATACAGTGACAATGCAAATAAAGACGGTTTTATTTGTCAGGCATTTAAAAAAATTCTGATAAGCAGTCTTCAATTTTTCTTTTTCTTTTTTTTGCTCTGCATTTTTTTTCCTTAAATATATGAAATATTCTATTATATTTTGAATTATTCTAGGAAATCAGCCTTTTTTTTTAACAATTCTAATCTATAAAAATCTAATTCCCACAATTACAATCTCTGCAGAAGATGATACCAATTAAATGTATGCAGCAGAACAACGTGCTTGTGGTATTAATCTCAGAAGGTAATGGAAAGATGTTAAAAATGATACATGATTTTAAAAATTATTTTTATTTTTGCAGCTGTAGTTTAATATTTCAAAATTATTTTTTTCTTAAAGACAATGAGAGCACTTTAGTAGCAGTACTGACCTCCATGATGTCAGAATGTCATTGTGCAACCGTAGCTAAGAAAAGCCTCTGAGGAAAAAAACAAAGGAGCTTTGCATCTCCCAATAACATGAGATGTGCGTACACTGTATGTAGCATTTTGGAATTTGGATTGTGGTAGTAAGTTGCTGCTTTCAGTTTGATTAGACAATCATTGTTTCGTTTTCCTTGCTTTGACAGCGAGGGTGCTTGTATGCTGCTTAAGTCTTCTTAGTGCTATCTAGGTCAGTATACTTATGCTTTTTTTGTTGTTGTTTAAGTCTGACAGATAACATCTGAAGGAAATTAGCACCAATTTTCCTTTTTTTTGTTATATCTGAGGGGAGAAAAATATTTTTATAATTGATCAGAACTGTATACCACAGCACCTACCGTTTCTGCATTGCAGATATTTTTAGCTCTCACACTGCTTGTGGTTAACAGGGTGTAGCGTAGACACAGACAGCTGATCTTGCAGGCAGACCCTGTGCTTGTGTGGTTTGTCAATACTGCTCAGGATTTTGATGGACTGCAAAAGAGAAAAAGCAGAAAGGAAAGAAAAAAGAATGTTTTATTTTCATGAACGTTGCACCTTTAGTTAGGATATTTTTCTATCACAGTCTTTTTATTTTTTAATTTTAAAACTTAAAAATTAGGAAAGCACAGCATCCAGGATTTAGTATGTGCGATACGACATCTTTCTGCATCGAGAGGACGCCACCGTAGTCAATCCAGCCTTTCTCCAATAAGCAAGAAGATTGTTTTGTTTTCCTCGGCAGGCGGACTCAGCCACTGCACAGGCAGATTTTGATAAGAGTTTGAAATGCCTACTACTGTATCGTTGTAGAATTTGGAGTTTGCTAACAGTGTTAGTGACTGGAGCTCATCTTGCATCACCAGTTGATGACAATTTTCTTTGTTCCCTCCCACCCAGTTGAACCAAGACTCTGTAGCTGATACGCAATGTCACTTACAACATTAATCAGATACTGCATTTAAGGTGAGCTGTCCCTTGCCTCCTCCCTTACCAGAGCTGTGCTGCAGTATGTATCTTACTCCTGCGAGCCTAAAATGGCAGGCAGGATTAACGTTGCTTGTGCTGTGTGCATGCTGTGTATTGAATTCATTATACCGTGCCTAGTATCTCAAATGTGAGTATGTTAAATGGTCTGTGTGCCATATCATGCAGTAGTGAAAACTGGCTTGTGCTTCATTACAGGCTTAGATATTTGAGCATCACCTTAAGAATTCTTTTTCTTTTGCAATGTGGTGAGCTGTTAGCTTGTCATCATGTTCAAACTACATTATTAGCCCTTGGAAAGGGGAAAAAAAAAAAAAAAGAAAAAAAAGAAGCAAACCGTGCTTCCAGATGGTGTCACCCTTTTTCTTCTTGCGTTTACTGTAGTTTAAATAATGTATATTGTATTGTTAATTAATGTGAATATCGAATTAAAGCACTTGAAACTTACATATTTATTATGCAGGTAGGAGGCACGTCGAATCTATTTTTAACTCTTACGCAGTCCACGTTGTGCAATGGGCTTTGGTTGTCGAGTTTATATTTTCAGCTGTGATATCAATAGGCTGATTTTCAGTAAATGTGACAAGTGGCCTTTGCAGTGGTCAGCTTCAAGCTCTGAACACTCTGAGGAGGAGAAAAAAAAACAACAACCTTGCGTTGCAGTTTCGGAAAACCTTGGATGAGGACATTTTTTTTTTCCCCACTCCTGCTTTCCCTATTGATAAACTCAGTTCTCCTGATCACGGTCTATTCAAGCTGCTTCCCATCTGGTTTTTGACAACTGCTTCTAAAAAAAATTATCAAGAAGACCAAGAATAGAATTTATCTCCATCGCTTTTCATAAAAATGGCTGGGTGCACTGCCCTGCTGGCACTGCACTAAGTGATACACGCAGGTAGGTTGAGATTTGCATGTTTTACTGATTTCTTCGTCAGTGTTACAAGAACATGAAATGGGCTTTGGAATGTAGCCTTCAGATTGAAAAAAAAAATTGTTAATGAAAACAACTGTGTCAAACTGTTGGCTTCAAATATTGGCATGGCAATTGTTTTTATCTGCTTTTGAAAAATTCTATTGTGAAAGTGGAGCAATCATGCCTGTTAAAATAATCATATGTACTAAGGGCGTGGCAACGCTTCTGCAACAAAAGAATTTTTGAAAACCCTATTGATTCGATCACATTTTAAAGCTGACTATAACCATTACTGAGCATGCACTAAAAATGCAAAAATAAAAATGGAGGTAGATAAGAAAAATGAAAAACATTCCAATTGCTGCAAGCGGTTTTCTGCGTTTTGTGCGAAATATGAAATAAAGATTAATATGCTGCATGCTTATTTTTTCAGTGTTGGCTACAAACATAAACCTTCAGTATTCCTTTTTATTTTAAGGTAGAAGGACTTTATATAGAGAGATTGATATAGATGGCCCTGTCAGCTCACACTGTGTATCAGTTCACTGAAGTGTGTTTTACTTCACAGAAAAAAAGGTTACGAAAGGAAAGTGAACAGCCGTAGGTGCAAAAACCTGATGTTGAGCATTAAGAATAAAAAGAATTCTGAGTATTCTACTACTTACACCAACTTTTGTAATATATTTGTTTCAGATTAATACTGGGCCAGAACCAGTTTCCTTGGCAACCAAATCCTTCTAAAAGATGCAATAGTAGAGATGTAAAATGAAGTTATGCTCTTTAATAACAATACCACAATGCAAATGGAAATTTCACAGTTAAGTTTGTTTGCAGTCCTAAGTGGGAATCTGATCTTGTTTTGTGTTTCCACGCGGCTATCATTTATTAAACGATGCCGTGTTTATGAAGCTGTGCACCAGAAAAAACTATTTTATTCCTGTTTTGCAGTGGTTGTTTCCAGAAACGTACCCTAGTTTCCTTTTTTAATGTCTTGCATGTAGGTCAAAGTATGCACTATGTGTATATGAAGTGATAGTTTCATTATTACAAATATAAAAGTATCACTGAAACATTTATTAGCAGAGAAACGTAGAGAATCAGAAGTATGTTTAAACCTCCTTCCACCTTTGCTGAATTCAGCCATGGGAATGCTAATAAATCTTTCTTTAAATAGTGGACACATTCTGATCTAAAGATCTGTTTATCCATACTGGAAAAGAACTTGTGTAGGATTGTAAGCAAGATTTTATAAAATAAGCTCACTTGTAGTCTACGGTGATTTGCAGACCTCACAGATTTTGCAAAAATTAAGTATTATAATTCCTTATGCTATTGTTAGCTGATATTTTAACAATATCAGTGAAGCCAGTTCTTATGTGTTCCACAGTAACAGATGCTACTAAGTGTCTCTACTGTACTTATAATGTAGTGCATTTCCTTGTGAATCCCCTTTGTACGTGACTTGAGAAATTCTCACTGCTGCAACGAGACTTTTGCAGCAGGGTAGCCATTTTCCTTTCATGTCCTTGACTTTAAAATGACTAAGAGTATTTTGCTTCAGATGAGGACCCAGCACTGCAAATTAATACAAAGGAGGTATTTAGAAGCACAGCCAGTTACATTAATTATAGCCTTGACAGTTTCAGTACTATCAAACAAATTCTCATTTATTTCTAAATATACCACTTCAGTACATCACAAAGATGCAGAGCAAAACTGTTCAGTAATATGATTGTTGCCATCTATCTTGGCCAGTGCTTAATAATGATAATAAAACCCATTTGATTAATAATTATGAGACAAGTTTGATGCAGTGCAATATTTTCCAGTCCCACCTAAAAAAACTGAACTGAAAACGTAATAAACAGCATTTCCCCAGTGATGTATTAAAGTAGGCTTTAATTTCTTATTTATTTATTTATCTCCAGTAGTTTGCTTCTATTGATTTTTTTTTAGTCTGAAACATGATACGGAGTGCGCCATTACATGGAGGTCCCAAAACTGTGTTTCCTTGTTTATATTTTGTGTGGTTATTTTTAAAGGAAGTTGCTGAGCTAATGCTATGCAGAAGCAATCTATTTATTGCCATTGATATTTATCTTTAGGGAAGACAGGGTACTTTGAGTTAAACTGTTTTTGTTCTGTCTTTGTGTTCAAATATATCCACTCAAAGCGTTTAAAGAAAGCACAGCTCTGTTACACCACGCTTGTTCCAAATCTATTTGCAAATTTACTCTTTTGTTAGGGGGTGCAATCCTCTCGTAATTAATATGACTGGACTCAAGTGTTTTCATGATTCTGGAAAAACTCACTGGCAGCCTATGAGCAGTAATGTCTAGCTAAAGAAACTGAATTATTTATTAAGGAGGATTCTAGTAATTAGCAAGCTGTTTTCATTTTGACTCTTTTACATGGTTTGCTGTATACCTTTTAATGGTAGTTAAATCCATCTAATGCAGTGTCAGAACATTACAGCCAGAGCCACAGTACAAAACATTGTGTAAATTCCATCCATTTTATTCGCTTTGGCTAAAGGGGCAACCAGGGCAGATAGAAACAGGTGCGGTTTTTCACACCTCTAGCATAGCTTCTCAGATGTTATTGTTGTGGGAGAGCATGGGGGTTTTGTACAGTTTTATCCTGGAAGCCTTTTTATAATTATGCTTTATCCATGCAAAGTCCATTTGTGCCTAATGGAAAATCTACACAAAATTTGAGAGAAAATGAAATGAAAAATAATTCAATTAGACGTTATCTTGCTTGCTACTTACTTGCCTTTCTGATTAAGGCTACTTCTGGCTCTAAACTTCATTTTGATTTGAAAATGCAGGTCTCACAGTGTGCAACTATGTGTTGAGATAATATTTGTCAGACCATTATGCAGAGGCTGTGGTAGTAAAGAACAGGTAACAACCCTCTGGGGGCATCTAGTGCCTCTGTTGTATTTTATCTGGGGAATTGTTTCATTATGTTTTAAAAGGGCTTTATTATGTATAGTATTTGAAATCTAGTGTTATCAAATTTGGAAATACTTCAGCTTTGGTAAAGTCTCTTTACCACTGGATTCCTCCAGTGCAATGTTTAAGTTTCCCATTCAGCATAACATTTAACAGTCATTTGTGTATATAGATGTGCTTATGACTTGATTGGTGTTTGAGATAATAACAAGGACTTAACGTTAGTCTCCTTCATTCTGGCCTTTGTTACAGGCACACAGGAGCTTTAGAATATTTACTGAAATCAAGATACACTAAAAAACATACTAAAGTACGTAAATGCTAAAGTATAAATGCTCATATTTTTGCATTTTAAAGCCAAAGTAATGGATCCTGTAGTTCCTGTATGTTATTTATGAAAACAGGATAGCATGTTTGCAGATGGGAGGTGTATCTGTGTCTACTTCCTGCAGTAAAAATGTCCATCAGCTCAGTGCCTTATCTGAAAGGTTTTTCAGTTGCTGTGTGGAACAATTTGAGTTTGCTTAGTATATTTGGAATGCAGCCATGTTCTAAATAATTTTAAACTACTACATGAAAACATTATTTGTGTTTGATGTACAATAGCATAAAATCTGGATGTTTCACAGTGATCAGTCATTTAAGCAGAAAGTTATAGGAAGCATATTCCAGAGAGCAAGAGTTGTCCAGAGAAATCTTATGATAATATCTGTCACAAGAGAGGCCAAAAAAAAAAAAAAAAAAAAGTGGCAGAAGAAAAAGAGGAGAAGCAAACGACCTTCTGAAAGACTGAAAAAAATGCATGGAGCCTTTCAAGATAAAGAATAACTTGTAATTGGTTTTGGCAATTTCGGCGGAGTCAAGGGAGTTGACTAGTAATAACGACTTTTTCTTCCCACATCATAATTTGTTCTCTAAATTGGCAAGCTGTGATAGCTATTCCTAAAAGCACTGCTTTTCCACTGACTTTACCTTGTGAAACTCGGGAATATACATATACTGACTCAGAAAGTTGTGAAGCCTTCATTATTTGATATGTTATCAGATAGAACTGTTGGGAAAAATTTGGAAATAGTTGAGATAGGGGAAGGGCAGTAGAGCCAGGCTTGGTTTTAGTCTAATTTTTTTCAGTGATCCCAATAAAATAATTGGTTTTAAACTTGAAACAATCCTTAGATTTCTATTTAGGGTATATTTTGAAATACAGTGTGCAGTTTACACTACGCAGGTTAAAGCACAATGAAATAATGCACGCAGAAGCCATGTTCGTAATCCTTTGGTTAACAGGACTGCTTTATTGCTGGTATGTTGCAATCCTCCCAGATGTAGGTTTACAGTACCACAGCAAAGAAAAACTTAGACAAATTACACAATGTATCTGGAAACTAGTACTTGTCTACTAATTTAGTCATTAAATTTGGATTTTCCACTTTGCAGGCTGACTGACAGCCACAGAATTCACAAAATTACTGAGATGATCTTGCCGAACATACCTGTCGATACCACTTCTAAAAGACTCTAACTGAGGAACAGCCTGATTTTAGGTGGGTAAGTTTATGGGGTGAACAAGACAAGCTGAAATCTCTTTAAAACACATAGAGAAATACAACTGAAATATTTAATCCTCTGAAACCACATAATTGCATGACTTTGGTTAAAGAGCTACCTTGCTAAGAATCACTTAAAAGACTGCTCTTGCTACGGTACATCACTCATGTATCAGTTTTGTTGGATTTGTTCAGCTCCTGCTAGGCTTCTGTTGCTATAGGTTGGAGAATTAAATCAAACAGAATAAATGTGTGAAACAGGCTGTTACAGGTTGTTAAAGCCTCCAATGATTGGCAGGCAGGCAAACCACCTGAGCTTGCCATAATGTTAAATCTGGCAATGGATCCCAGTCACTACTGTTCATTACCAATCTGTGCCATACAGAAAAGGTAGAGGAGCTCTCATAATACTGATACTAATTTCTAATACAGTTGCTGTATATAATTCAACTGAAAACTGCTAATCTCTACCTTAATACATGACTGTAGTCAGGGGTAGTTAAAAAACTACCAATAGTGAGTTGTGAACAGCTCTTCACAAATTCAAGTGCAGTACTGTGATAAAAAAATATTTCAAAACAAGATTTTTACATTTTACATGAAATCTACAAATACTCAAAGTTTACTTTCTTTTTACTATGAATGTACAATAATAATCACCTTGGTTAAATTAAGTCTGGTACTTCTGCTTTAGATTTGAGGTATGTAGGTATTAAGTGAAATAATCAGGGAAACTGATTAATTCATTAATTTTGAATGTGGTCTTTTGAATATGATCACAGAGTATCATTTACATTACGGCAATTTTTGTTGATTTCCATGGTACTTTTCACTCAAACTTCACTGGAAAAGTTTGGTGGATAATGGGTTGGCTTGGTTGGAATGGAACTCAAAGACCACCCCGTGATATTTCAAAATAGACATAATAATTAAGACTACTAGGCAACATGCAAAATAAGGAACCAAATTTAAAAACAGACAACAACAACAACAAAAACTTCTGGAATTCCTGTAACGTATAAAAAATATTTTCTGTAGTTTACTTTTAATAGACAGTGTTGTAAGACATAGAAAATGGTAATAGATTTTCAGAGACTCTAAGACGGCACTGGTAGTTTAAATTAATCAACAAAACATTTCAATTAGATAAATGTAAGTTACCTGGACTTAAAGCAGCAATACGCTTCGAAATCTAAGTTGTACCTATTTTAAGTAAACTGCTACAGACTACTTGCTCAGTATATTTTAGGTAGAATACTGGGCCATAACCTGTTTCCTTGGCAACCACATACGAATGAAAGGTACGTTAGCAAAGCTGCAGATGTGTGCCAGTGAATGCTTATTAAGCAGCCCAATGCATTTACATATCATGCGCTAATAATAATGCATGCATTTTCAAAATCACCATATAAAAAGATTTCCGTGCATGGCCCAATGTGTATTCTTAATACTCAAAGGTTTTAACCCCCAAACCTTGTGTTTTCTGTGGAAATTTCTTTGTGATTTTGAGATTAAATTGAACTTGCAGTTGACATACTGGGCTTGGTCTGTAAGTTGAAACCTTTCTCCAAGACTGTGAATACTTACAGACCTTCTTTATGGCAACAAAATATGGAAATTAAGATTTCCACTATCTTTCATAAGTGTGCAGCCATTGTAAATTTGAATCCTGCGCCAGCATACAGATGCAAGTATGGTTATTCTGTTCAATACTGTGACAAACTAAAGCCACTCAAAAAAAAGAAGAGAGACTGGTGTCACTTGTGGCTCTCTCATTCTAACATACCCACGCAAAAAGATATCACCAAGTGTTGTCTTCTAACAGTCAGTGACAAAAAGGAGGAGGAAAAAGGGAAAAATTTATATCAGACAGAATGCTAGTTGTTCATGGACTTCCAGAATAAGACTAAGATGTAGTATTTAGGCAGTACTTTCTGTGCAATTGTTTACAATGTGCTATTTTATTTTATGTTGCTTTATATATTTACATTTTTAAGATTCAAATACACTTAAGATCAGTTTACTCGCTTCAGCAAGTTTATACACGTTATTTTTGGCCTTTATTTTCAAGGTATTAATTTGTATTTAAAATGAAAAGTGTGTACAGTCCTTTGGGTTAACTATGCTACCCCAACATGATGCATCTTGCAGAAGTCAGTCTAAAATGCCAATCATTAAACAGAGAGTAAAAATGGGATCCTGCAAGTTCTGAGCTTAAATTCAGAATGAAATTAAATTCTCTGTTACTATGGTCAACAGAGAAGTTGTTTATATGACCAGCAGCTTAATGAAAGCCCTCTTCAAATCCATCAAAAGATTTCCATTTGACTTTTTTTTTTTTTTTTTTGGAGTATGAAATAAGAAAGGTGGTTTCACACATAACACAGCAATGTTTAGGTGTCATGAGACTACTCGGGAGATGCAAGTTGACGGGTTTTTGTGGTTGTTTTTTTGTTGTTGTTTTTCTTATTGTGCCCCATCTGATCTAAGCTTACTGTCAGGCAGTGAGTTTTACTTTGGGTAATCGATGTGAGAGGCTGAGCATGCACCACATTAGGGTTTTCTTCCTGCTGCCAGCTGCTGCCTGCTTACTGCTACAGTTCTCCACTGCCTGCATGGAGGCCCCGCAACAACTTTTAGGTTGGAAACATACAGCAGAACAGAAGAAGAGGAGGAGGGCTTGGGTTAGTACAGAATGGAGTCTAAGAACATTTGAGAGCACACAGACAAAGTTACTGTATGTGTCATAGAAACTGCCAAAATTAATTGCCACACTTAAGTGGTGATTCAGAGTAATCGCTATCACTTATGCATTGCTTTTGCTATGCTAAATTTTAGCAGTATAAAAATAAAACAAATACATAAATAAAACATTTTTAAGGAATATTGGTGGCCAGTGGTGGCCACTTAACAGCTTTAAGACCAATTCTAACTTTTAAAATTGGCTGTCCAGCCATCCAGCAGGCCACTAAATGAGGTATTAGCAGGGGAAAGGATTTTGCTCTGCTTTCAGTCTAGCAAGATTTGCTATGTCAGCTGTAGGAAAGAACAAAAAGTGCTGTATCTGCCTGGTCCACAGCACACCTGACTGAGAATAATAGTGGCCCCTGAGCATGCAATTTGCCTGCTGCTCTTGTCAAGGTAGGTTTAGATACTTAAAGGATGTTTTTTCTGAAAACTGGAAAAATGAGATGCTAGTTGGACTACATTCAACCTTCAGATAACTGAATGAGCAACAGAATACAACATAATAATTGCCCAAAATGAAATTACAGGTTTAATTTGATAATTTTGTTGACAATGGTAAACATAGAAAATAGAAAATGCTGTCTGTAAACATAGTCTCAGGACTGCAGTCGATCTGTGCTAGCTAGGGACTGTGCTGTGTCCCAGGAGTGTGGGAGGCCAGAAAGTGGCTTGTCAGCAGCAGAGAAAAAAAATGAAGACTTAAATGGAAATAATGTTGAGAATGTTCAGAGACAGCAAGATGTAAGGTCAGCTGATTGTTACTAGCCGTATGACGTAAGCTTTTCTATTTTCTGCTAAAGAATAATTTGGATGTATTTGTATTGCAGTTGCTTCATTTTCTTATTTATTCTGGTGGAGAGACAATCTTAAATTTATATGTTCCAAAATTGCTTGTTTAGAGTTAATGAGACATAGAATAAGCCATGCCTAAGATGAATTGTCAAAAGCCAGTATACCTTAGAGATATATCTGATTCTTTGGTAAACATGCACAGCTCACATAGCTTGAGAATCAAATGATTTCTGCCAGGCTTCCCTGTTCCAGCCAGATTTGGAGAAGCTGCCAGCTGCCACAGGTCTCAGTAACTGTGCTCCTTCCCCTGCCTCTCCCTTCACTCAGTGGTCTAGGAGAGAAAAAATGTTATGCAAAGCAATGCCTTTCTTTTCTTATTTGACAGAAAGGGGAGTGGAACCACTTTGGGCTGATCTGCCCGAGGGGTGAAGAGCTTTGTTTTTGATCTCAGCAGCATGGCTGGTTGCTTTGACCTCAGCTGTGAGAGCAAAGGAGAAGGCAGTCCATCCAAAGATCTTTCTCCTGGATAGTCTGGTCTGCTCAAGGCATGGAGAAGGACTTGTCACTTAAGAGCAATTTACTAGATCTGGTAATGCTACATATGTTGCTTTTGCTGCCATTAATAAGGGAAGCTGAGGAATACTAACCACAGAATAATATTGGAACACTTCCTTTTTTTTACTAGGCAGCCTAAGCTTTTTCCTTACTCCTAAGGAAAAAATACCATGTGTCATGATTTGCAGAAGTGAGATTGTCAGACTTGAGCAAAGCATACATAGATTCCCACTCCAGAAACCTTGGGACTGTTAAATTCATTTTAAAGAAGTTTGCTTACAATTTTCTTTATACCTTGCAGTAATATCATGTAAGAAGTAATCCATTTTCTTTGTGTACAAGTGGTTTTATAACGAAGCATTATAATAAGAAGGTAGAATCTGGGGTGTTGCCGAGTTGGCCTTGTAAAGAATTTCTTACTCTGAAAGAGTACATCTGTAAGGAGATGATGGGATTGTAAATTCAAGTAGCTCAAACCTACATAAGGAAATTAGCACCTTCAATTACAGTACTGGTCAGAGAAAAAGTGATTCTTTTTACAGGGGATTAGCTAAAGTTGCCTTAAGAAAACACACAAAAATAATAATTAATAACCCAATTTTCTTCAACTCTATTATCTATAGATATTAAACTGCCAGGGCATTGAAGTACAAACAAGTTAACGTCTTTAAATTGGGGGTATCTGCTGTATGAGTTACTTAGGTCTTTGATTTTCAGAACAATTGAAAAAAAGCAAAATTAATTAAGATGTAGTGGGAATTGAAAACCTAATCTTCCTTAAATTTGTTTCACATAATCTAAAGAGATGCTCATGTTTATCACTGCTCAGTAATGCACGGTTCTTTATTTCTTTTATGGGTTTATAACAGGTTTAATTTAATCCACATTATTGTATTCTTACT